ATAATTATTAACTTAATAATTTAATATTATGGGCACCATGTATTAAAATTATTTAAAATAATAGTATTAAATTAAGTATTTATAGGTAAAAATTAAAGGTTTTTTATAATATATTATATAGTAAACAAGGAAAACTTTAAAAGTTTAAATTTAGGTAATAAATAGCTTTAAAAATAATTATATAAATAATATTTAAAAAAGTAAAGTATAAGCCGGGCTTATAACTTTTAAAGTTATAAATATTTTAGGTAAAAATTAATTATATAAAATTAGGATAAAAATTAAAAAGTAAATAAAATATAAAATTTTTTAAAATTTAAAATAAATAAAAATATAAAAATTTAATAGCTAAATATAAAAAAATTTAAGCTATATTTATTTTTTTTTTTATATTTTATTTTTTAATTAGGCCATAAAATCCAGCTAAAGTTAAAGGTTAATTTTTTTTTTATTTTTAAAGGTTAGTTAAAGTTATTTAACTAAGTTTACCGCGGAGATCCAAGGGATCTCCACCTCTTGTCCAACAGGGTCTCACTCCGTACACCCCCCAGATGACTAGATCTACCCCCCTAAGCTGTATCTAACGTAAGCAACGCCTAATTAAAATATCCTAATTAAAAAGGCGCCCGGTAACTACATACACCCCCCCCCTTAATAATAAAATAATAATACTTTTCCACGCCGTGGCACAACCTCCGCCCGGTAAATCTTTACCTAGTAAATTAATTAATAAAGGTAAAGCTATTTAAAATTCCTAATTTCTAAAACTCCTAAATTCCTATATATTAAATATTTATATATATATTTTTTTTTTAATATAAATTTTAAGCAACCCGCCGCAGCTGTAAAATTTTATAATTTTAACCTTAATAAAAAAGTTTAAAATATCCTTAATTTATTAATTAATATTAATAAGCTTGTTACTAATACTAAACTCCTACCTTTTTTACTTAATAATTCCTATTTTAATAAAAAAACCGTGCTATACTTTATTTAATAGTATATAAAAAATAACCTTTACTTTATTACTATTTTTTAATTAAAGGTAAGAAAAGTAATACTTTAATATAGCTTTAAAGGCTATTATATATTTAAGGTATATTATTAGCTAGCTTAAAAAAATATAATTATAAAGGGCTTTATAGTAAAGGCCTTTATTATACTTAAAATTATAAAAAGCTTTAATATAAAGCCCTTTATAGTTATAAAGCCCTTTATAATACTAAAAATAATAAAAAATTAAAAAAATATAGTTATAAAAGGCTTTATACTAAAGTTTTTTATAACTTTAAATATAATAAAGGCCTTTATTATAAAGGGCTTTATAGCTTTAGGTATAATAAAAAAAATAATAAAAATAAAAATATTTTTAAGTACTAGTTTACCTTTACTAAAAAGCTAGGCTACTTATTTTATTATATAATATACCTTTATATAAATAATAGCTATTAATACTTTTAAACTTATAATATAAGCTATAATTATAGGCCTATATTACCTAGTACTTAAATATAATATTAATAATAATAAATACTTTAATACTAGGTGTAAATTAATTAAGTGGTTAAGTTTAATATTTTAATATATATTATTTTAAGTTATTTATATTGCAAGATTCCTAGGTGCCTTATTTAGTTAAAAAATATTTAAAATTATTAATATACTTTTTTTAAGTATTAGCTTACTAGTAAAATACCTATATAAATATTACTTATATTTTTTAATAACCTTATAATATAAATATTTTATTATTATTACTTAATAAATAGTAAGCTATATTACCTTTTTTTTATATATAAATAAATTATTAAGTTATTAAAGTAATTCCTATTTATTTTTTTTATAAATTATATATATAAAATAAATAAGTACGGCCTTCCGCTGCTAAATATTATTAAAATAATAACTTTAAATAAAATATTTTATATTAGCTTTACCTTCCTAAGCAAGAAAAATAAAAAGTTATATATATAAGTATTAAATAATATTAAAAGTATTTATTTTTATTACTTTATTAAGCCCTCCGGGTCTAGTACTAGGATAAATAAGCCCTTAATTATTTTAACTAACTATAATATTATGCTTTTAAACACCCTTAATAATATATTTTTTTTATTAAAGTATGTACTTTATTAATAATATATTATAAATAATATTATAGCTAGGGTAAAAAAAAAATTATTATTAAAATATAAGTTAAGGCTATATTAAAACTACTTAATTTTATTAATTAATATACTTTACTTTAAAAGGTAAATAATAAATAGGCTTTAATAAAGCTTTACTTAGTAAGGTATTTTTATTAGGTATTAAAAAAGGTCTTTTAAAATAACTAGCTTTAAGTTTATACTTAGTATAAAAAGTATAAGTAGTATAATTTTATAAATTATATTAAAAATTAATAGCTTAAAAAAAATATTAAGTACTGCTTTTTAATTTATTATACTAGTAAAATTTAATACTTTAACTAAATTATTATATTTTAAAAGAAGGGGTTTTATATTATACTAAAAAAAATAATATACCTATAAATAATTTACTAGTAATTATTTATTAAATAAAAAATATAATACTTTATTATTATCCACAGGTTTATATAATACTTTAAAAAAAATTACTTATTTTTTACCTTTTATAACCCCCTTATTTTACTTTATACTTAGCAAGATTTTTATATATACGTTATAAAAGGTTATTATATTTTAAAAGTATTATTTCCTGCCTGTAAAAGGCAAGCCTTTAATAAAATAGTATATAAAAATATTAAAAAAAATTATTAAAATTTTTTATATTTATATAATACTAGCCTGCCAGCAAAAATCTTTATTATTATTTTTATATTAATTTTACTAGTAATAGCACCTTTTTAAAAATTATAAACCTTTTTAAATTAACCCCCATGCTATAATATAAAACCTAGTAAAGGTATAAAGCCTACTAACTAAAAAAAAGGTAAAAATATTAAAAAAAAAAACTTTACTTATAATTTATTTTACTATAAAGTTATAAAGGCATGTATTAAAAAAGTTAGCTAGTAAAATAAGCAGGCGGTAAAAAAGATAAAAAAAGTAATAAAAGTAAAGGTAATAAAGGTAAAAATAATAAAAAAAATACTAGCAGCCATAAATAATATTATTATTATTAAAAATTTATTAAATATTAAGTTAGTAACTAAAAATAATATTAAAAATTAAGGCCGTGAAAAAGGCTATAAAAAAAAGTATACTAAAGTACTTATAATAGTTCCTAAGTTATTTTTAAAAAGTTTTAGCCTAAATTAAAAAAAAATTAAATCTAGCTATATTTTATTATATTTTTAAAAAATTTAAAGTTATTTTTAAAGCAAGTAATTAAAAAATTAATTACTATAATAAAAAAAGCGTGTTATAAATATATATTTTTATTTTTTAAAAGTATATTAATTTATATATAATTTTTTATATAAAACTAAGTACCCGCGTGTTAAAAACCTTTTTACCTTTTTTTTTATATAAATAAACTTTTAAATAGCTTTAAAATTAATTTACTTTTAGGTACTTTTATTTATATATAATTTTTTATAAAAAACTATATACTAGCGTGTTAAGGGCCTTTTATTAAATATTTTAATAAAACTAAGGGGGGGGGTGTATATAGTTACCGGGTGCCTTTTTAATTAGGATATTTTCTAATATAGCTTTGCTTACGTCAGGCGCGGCCTGGGGGGGTACACCTAGTCATCTGGGGGGTGTACGGAGTGACACCCCCCGAGTGATACAGTAAGCTTAGCTTTCTCTGCTTTCCCTGTCCGTCTCCAACTTCACCGCAATGTCCACGCCTGCTGATAATACTCTTTTTACATTTGGGTACTGGTCTGTCAAGGCGGATTGAGAGCACCACCCCTGCGCCAGGAATCCTTAAGGGGATCCCACCCCCGCGCCACGGACCCCCGAATCAGGATTCCACGCCCATTTACCTCACCACCAAGCATTATGCCCTTGCTCGGGATGAGTGACAGAGTCCCCCAGCCGCAGCTGGAGCTGAAGGAGAAGAATGATGTGGGACCCCAAGGCACGTCTTCTTCTATCAAGAGCCTCGGAACACCAATACTAACTTCCTCCTGCAGAACCCGACACCGAATCTGGGGGTATGCCCATTGACTGCTTCGAGTACCGATGACACCAATAGCTAAGGAGCCTAGACATCGTCCCCCTTCTTCAACGCATGTTAGTCTCGCCAACCTAGGCTACGAGCCACAGCTCGCAAAGACCATCGGGCCCCAGGGCATCATCGCCATCGGATACAACATATGCAATAGCTGGATAGGCCTGGTAGGAATGATGGCAGTCAGTCTGGAGCAAGGCGGCAGCGTGACTCTCGTCTACGGCATTCTCGTTGTCGTTTTCGCCATCGGATGTACTGCTGCGAGCATGGCCGAGCTCGCCAGCGTCTATCCAACCGCCGGCGGGCCGTACCACTGGGCCTCGATCCTGGCGCCGAAAGGATATCACAGACGCATCGTGCGCTAGCCCGTGTCCGTGGAGTTATTACAGCACTTCTTGCTAAGCCTAGGCCCGTACTTGCCGAAACAGAGCTACGCATGCGCCGCCTTGAACATCTACGGCTGGCTGTCGATCTGTGTCGGTGTGGCCGTGCGGGTTGGAACCTTCATCAACGGGATGCGCCGCTTCTACAACCCTAGCCTGGATCTTCCGGTGTGGCACGACTTTCTGTACTATCAGGGGGCCAACGTTGCTATTCTACTCTACAATATCCTCGCTCTGCGCAGAACCAAGGGGGTACATGATGTGGGAGGTGAGTTGGGCCTTTCTCCATTGCACGGCATGTACCAGCCAACACCCACCAGGCTCCTTAACATCTGAATCTATCTCACTCAGCTGCATTCTCTCTGACCGCGTTCATTGCCGTCTTGATCACATATTTGGCTCGCGCAGACAAGTTCAGCTCCAACTCATTTGCCTGGACATACTTCCTCAACGCCGACGAGGCCAAAACCTGTACTAGCACCCTGATGAAGCAAGGCTTGCACCTCTTTCCAACCGGTTGTAGTCTTCCAATCGCCGCTCCAGTAGTTGCGGATCAGCGTTCTCAGCACCCCATATAATCCTCAAGCAGAGAAGGTACGTGGACGTCCAATCCGTCCCCAGACGCTCCCGCCGCTCCTCTTCCCCCTGCAGTAGATGAGTTTTGTATCTCGCAGGCTCCCAATCGTACTGTCCTATCATCCTCTTGACGACAGCCGGCCCAACATAATCCGGATGGCCTGGCCTGACGACAGATTCCGCACCCCTCTCGAGAGCTTCCTCATTATCAGCAGCAATGAGGTCCAACCGGTAACATTTGAACTTGAGATTGTGCACAATGCACTCTTTGCAAGTACACTCTTTCCACGGCTGCCATGGCTCGTCGCCTTTCGACCCGCGGGACAAGAGGCGATCCTTGACTGTCTTCAAGCGTCTCATGAAGAGCTCGTCGCCGCCCATAATCTGGCGATGCGTTTGCATGAGCGTTGTTCCGAACGTAAGGAAGCCGATCATGGCCCAGTTCTCCATTCCGTCGTCGCCATTCCTCTTGAAGTCGATGTCCGGCGCGAAGTGGAGCGTGTCGCCGACGCGCTTGTCCATGTGCCATGCGCGCGAGAAGATCGTTCCGCTGGGTCGCCAGACTCTGCGCAGTGTCTTGACGTCGACATTAATCGTACCGTTGGAGCTGATCAGGGCCATGCTGCAGGCGACTTGGAAATGGGCTGCGATTTCGGCGAGGAAGTCGTGGAGGAGCTTGAGTCTTCTGAGGATCTGGAGGCGGTTTCTTATCCATGCTGAGGGGGGTAAGTTGGTCATGAAGTCTTCGGTGTCGCGATCAATGTAATATTTTATCCGTCGGTGGAGGTGAGTCTGTATGACTGATAGGTTGTCCACTGGGCAGTCCAGTAGGTGGTCGGCCAGCGAGCATGCTTGGCCCTTGTTCGAAGGGAGGTTGCTTGCGGCGAACCGGTCAGAGCAGCTCATCTCTTCGTCTTTGAGGAGGTACTCGTCTCCGCCTATTCCCTTGGACAGATTGAAGCCTAGAGAGAAGCCGTCGGTGTGGTCCCGGCCGAACCGCACGCTATACACGTGGTCGATCAGGTCAGCGTCGTTTTGGGCGTAGCTTGAGTACATTGTCACGGCGGATCCTAGCATGGCTCGTTGGCTGGAGCCGGGGACTGGATATTTCAACGGCTTGACGAAGCTTTGTAGGTAGCTTAGACATCCGTCGTCTGCCTTTTTTTCGATCTCTGGTGACAGATCAACCGGGATGAACGGATACACGGAGTCGAACATGCGATAGTAGTAGCTGTCATAGTTCAGCAACCCGTTGCAAAAGTCCTGGCAGTTGTTGCTTGTCCTGCTATAGGCTAGCTTCTGCTTCTTCCCAAGTTTCTGCGCGAGGAGGGCTAGATGGGGTTCGATTTCCGCGGAGAAGAGACTTTGCATTGTCGCTGTGAGCTGATCCGCGCAGTCTTGTAGGAGAGATCGGTTCTCCCCTTCGTGTCCCACCGGTAATTTTGACCTTCTCCATATCGCTGCTATGCGAAGGAAGAACCCGATGATTGCGTCCTCGGCTGCTTTCCATCCTGGTCGGGAGTGATTGTAATCTGTAAATAGGCCACCCGATAATTGCTTCCTGGAGCAGAGAAACCGGCGGTCTTTGACTCGCTTGGTGGCTTCATAGATGCGGCGATCTGGAGAGACGGAGTATACGTCGTTGCAGAATACATCGCAGCCTTGTATTATCTTGTAGTTCTCTGGCCGGAGATACTCTTTGACTTCGCGTGGGGAATGCCGTCCTAAGGAGGGCAATGTTCGAGTAGATATAAGAGCGCCACCAGGGTGTCTGCATGGTCAGTTTACTTGTGGTTGAGTATAACTTCCCCAGAGAATGTTCACTCACATAGTCATCCCATTCTCAATCAACAATGGTCCGAACATCAGAGCGCAGTGTGCATTCCCTGCTGGAAAGAGTCGCCGCGAGTTGATTGATCGTCTCAAGCCGCCAAACGATATTTGCTCCAGGAAGGCATTACCAAATGAGAGAAGGCTTTGACCTTTGATATGGTCTTCCAGTACGTCCAGCTCCTGGCTGAACGTCGCACAGTCTAGGAATGTCAGGCCTTCGCTTAGGGAACAGATACGTTCGGAATTGCGTACCTTCATCCCCGGCCTTTTTGAATCGATACGCAACTGCAAGATGCTCCCTCGGGTGGGAGGATGTTTCCATGCAGTTACAGCAGAGACGGTAGCGGGAAGGTGTCACGCAATCGATGTAGATATGGCCAAGGTCGACATGAGGATCCGACTTGTCGGAAACGCACTTGATATGATTTCGGGGCACTGTACTACTCCCATCATTAGTTGTGTTGTGCTCATTGGAGGTCTGAACGTACTAGTCACTGCATCCTTTCTTGCACTCGTAGAAATGGAATGAACGGATGCAGAATCGGCATTCAGAGCATTGGATGGCCTCGTAAATTCCTGGAAAGCGCTTGTCCACTGTACGAGGTATCATCAACATATGGTCATGGTCTTATAAGAAGGGAAGGGGGGTATACCCTGGGGCGCTGGTCCTAGAGAAGGGAAAGTTGGGCGTCTGTACTCTTGGACGTAGTCATAATCGGCGAATCCTGGTATCGTCATCAATATTCTGCACTTCAGAGAGGCCTATGCGTAACTCACCACATGCTTGGAGAAGAGCTCGAGCAATCCAGTCATCCTGAGGGGCCTGTTGTCGCCCTGGCATGTGTTGATTGCGTCGGTTACCTGCACTGCTCTCTGGCCAGAACCTCGCTCACCTTTGACTTCGTCAAACACACTCGCACATATGTTGTTCTTGATCTCCTCCGGCAGTCCAATGGGATCTTGCAGGTCTTAAGAGCTTTCTTCTAAATGAAGCAAACGGAGTGAATTCTCACCCCACAAATCAAGCAACTCCCTCAGGTAATCGCTCCCCAACGCTCCATCCCCCAGCTCCGGTAATCCTTCCGGAACGAAAGTCTTATAATCATCGAAAGCGAGAATTGCATTGGCGAGTTCATCTCTGACCGCGTCCCAGTACACTCTTTGCAGCAGCTGATAAACCGCCTGCACCGGATCGTCGCCCTTCTCCGAGATAAGCCGCCATCCCTGGTCGATGTCAGCGTCGTACGAGCTGGGAGACTGCAATTCGTCGAAGATATTCGAGGCCATGGTGCGGGATACATTGTCTCAAACTCAAGCTTCTGGGGTCATGGGGCTTATATCCAAACGCTGGTGTTGGGCTCAGCCGCACTCGGTTCGCGTCGGTCTCTTTTACGGTGATTTCAGGCGACTCGCTGGGATTTCCTGGTGTTGACTTGAATCTTCCTCTTCTTCAGGTGACGCCCTCACCACTGCTTGATGCCATTCATCCTCTCCGCCCATCCACCAGCTCGGCCATACTTTCATCGCCTTGGTCTCCTCCGTCTCCGGCATCTAATTCTCAGCATGAAGAAATCACTCGCACAAAAACTAGCCAGCTCTTTTACAAGGAGCCGGACTTCACGTGCTACAGCAGAATCGTCTGCAGAGTCGTCCGCCTCAGTCGCTGACACTTCGCAGTCGACTCACTCGGTCGCTACGTCTCGCAATCTACGAGACTTATCGGTCCGGTTAGATGAATACCTTGAGCGCTTGGACCTCGCTGGTGAGCCAGCTGTTTTGGCTCTGGTGAGCGTTACTGACCCCCGCAGGTGATGAGATAGACCTCGATGTAATCTCGATGAGCCGCCAGATCGAGAAGGTAAAGAAGTACAGTAACGGCTCTCTACCTGTCTCGGTGCAACCCTGCGCGGTGTACGTCTAATCATAGCGGAGTCTCGAATAATATACTAAGCAGCATCTTAGCAGCGAGAAATCTCTCGAGCTCATCAAGCTAGCAGCATGGAACGCAAAGGCCGTTTACGCTGCCGACACGACGCACATGGATCGCATTGCACAGTTGGCCGACTTCTCGGGCTACAAACTGACGCCGCACAGCGAGAGCATCGATGCCTCTCTCCGCGATGGTACGGTCAAGGCGACGAGCTTGCGGCTGCTCTCGCCGGAGAAGGATTCATTGCCTATGTTACTTGTCGTTGCGATCCGGGGCTCAACGTCGAAAAGACGAGATTGGACTATCAATTTTGATGATATTGGACAGGGAACAGATGGAGCGGGATTTCTTGTAAGATCTACATGAATATATTACACCTTTCTTGCCTAATCACGAGATAGGACTCAAACGATTGTACGTACCAAGTCCACGGTGGCTATCTCGAGTGTGCAAAGGGAATGGTCGAGAAAGTCTCGGAAGCCATATCCTGTATACTCTCGAATTCGGAAGCCGATCATAGTGTAGATCGCGACATCCAGCTTCTCTTTACGGGCCATTCAGCAGGCGGAGCCGTTGCTTCGTTGCTGTATGCTCATATGATCTCGAGCTATACTTCAACGCTAGCTAATCTACATCCGAGTTCGTCCCTTCCCCTTCCATGGCTACCGCAGGTCTTACAGATCACTGATATACTGTACGCACAGGATTTACCTCAATCGACTGCATTGTCTTTGGATCCCCACCAGTGTCCAAGCCAGGTCTGACGTCCTACAGTCAGACCTCGACCTTCCTCTCCATTATCAACGAAGGCGACCCTGTCCCGCGTATGGACAAGGGCTTCATCGAGTCTCTCCTCACCATCTATATATCCCCCATGCCAGCTGCGTCGGTGGCCTGGGCTCTGCCCCCGATGCTACTGGATAATGCGGGCACCATCATGGTTCTGAAAGACGGGGAGCAGGGGCTGTGTACGGTGCCGGATGACATTGACCAGAAGGGGATAAGGGCTGTCTTGGAGACGACCGTGTTCGGGAATCCAAGGGCGCATAAGATGGATATGTACCTGTGGAAGTTGGGGCTCGTTAAGACTCTTTTCTAGAGGGTTGCGCTATGGTTAGAACTCTCTATGACCAATCATGGCATTCGAGGATTATGCTGATCTCAGGTAGAGACTAGAGAAGACCATAATAATGGTACGCCAGAAGATTTAAATCATTGATCAGGATCCCACCCTGGATTGAAATCCAATACCTATTTACCTTACCACCAAGAACTGTGCCCTTGCCTGGGATAAATGACAAAGTTCCCTAAATATATATAATACCTAGGTAAATATTATAAGAATAATAGTTAGTCTAAAGCAAAGGGGCAGTGTTACTGTTGTCCATGGTGTAATAAAATATTATACTGCATCATGCTGCATGCCAGTATTGATACCTTTGCTCGGCACTATAGTGTTAGTATTGATGTCAATGCTGAGGAGTCAGACAGTTGTCCAAGACATGCCCACTTAGAAGCAGCTTATGTGTTTGCCTGCTCGATGAGTCGATCCATTGATCCGCACAGACCATACAAGCTAGAAGATTCCAGCTCTGTGATTCTGAATCGAATCCCAGGCGTCATTGCTTTTGAAGTCTTGAAGCAGGCACGAGAGCAGGCTTGACATATCAAAGCAATGGAGGTTTTGAGAATTCCCATTTCACTCTACAACGAGGATCTGGTGACAGTGACATTTATCCGCAGAAGAGTTGGATATCTCGCCACCTATGCCCAGGTGGACACTTCACAGATTTTGGGAAAGGATTGTGGAGAGGTTGCGCAAGGGATTTAGATGCGCAGAGCGGTGCAACCTTTCTGTCCAGTACACGATCTGCGAAACAAAGAGTTGCAATCCGCCAGCCGGCTCCCGGGGCTTCTTACCGGGGACCGTCGCCAGCCTGCTGTGACGGCCCTAGTAGGTCGTGAAAAGAGACCTCCAGGGCCGGGAATAGCAATCCCTTCTGGAAAGGTGGTGGACGAACAAGTCATGGACGTCTGGGACAAACCGGGTATATCACAACCCAGCAGATGACACTTACTGACACTGTTCTGACTATGTCAGGTGCAACCATTGAAAAGGAGAACCGCCGTCGCATCGCAGTGATCAAGGCGGAACTGAACCCGTGGCTAAAATGCCCTTGGGCTCAAGAAAGAGCTTCGAAAAAAGGCATTAGGCCCTTTTCCCAGGCTGTATGCCGTTCTTGAGGATATTTTTGATGGTGTTCAGCTGGACTGGCTTAGCCAGAAACAGATCCATTCCTGAACCGATTGCATCCCGCTGGACGTCAGCTTGCGCAACCCCAGTCAGGGCGACGATTGTGGCCCGTTCGCACGACCCGACGCTTTTCTCGAAGGCGCGTATTTGCCGTGTGGATTCTAACCCGTCCATGACCGGCATGGAGATATCTGTAAACGCGTCAATACCTGCAATGCAGCGACCAGCAGCCTGCGTCTGCTTCATAAGGAGTTTTACCCATCAAGATGATGCTGATTCGAGAAGCATTCTCCTTGAAAGAATCTAGGGCTTCTTGGCCGTTCTGCGCGACGATGTAATTATAGCCTAGCTTCTTCATGAAGGCAACCAGGAGCTTCATGTTGATGTCGTTATCATCAACCAAGAGGACGGTGGGGGTTACCTCCTGGGGCAATGATTGGTGGCCGACCTGCTCTTGTGCAGGATTGCTTTTCTCTGGGGGAACGACTGCGGGGGACGAGACTTGGAAGTGACTGCCGTCATAGTAACTGCTGTCTTTTGGAGAAAGATCTGGCTCCCTGGTTAACTCTGAACCCTCCTGTCTGAGCGCTGGCGCTGATTTGTTGGTCGCTTTGATCATAGGCTTCTGGTTCAGGCCTGCATTCGATTGAGGCGGCTGCTTTCCGAGTTCATCAAGAGCTGAGGTCGTTGAGGCAACTGACCCCTGCTTCACATGATCGCTCGCCGCAAAGCGTTGCTGCTGACGTTGAATACATATCTCCAATACTTTAGCCAGCTTATGAGGCCCGCATGGCTGGGCGATGAACTCGAGCACATCCGAGTCCCTTCGTTGTTGGGAAGCCATGAAAAGTGAATGCACAACCTTTGGGGTCGGACAAATAACAATGACAGGTGATGTGAATTTCGCACCTAAAGCAGGAGCTATAGGCTGGATCTCCAGATAATCAATGTCTAGGTATTCATAGGGTGCAATATAGAATTCGCAATGACGGAACTGCATGTCTGAAGGCGCAATCAAGTGAGCATCCATCTGGAGCCATCGACCACAAACGTTCTGCAGGGATGAGGCCAAGACAGTGTCCGTTTCGGAAGATCCCAGTCCTAATATTCCAATAGTCTTGTGGCGCACTAGCTCTATTGTTGACGCAAGTGGATTTCTGCCCATGTTGTCGCCCAAACCAGGTTCGGCATGGTCAAGAGTCAGGGACACCACAGCTTCAGTGCCGATATTCTTCTGAGATCTCATCTGAATGTCCCCGTTTAGCGACGCAATCGATCGTCGAGCTATGCTGGCGCCAAGTCCATTTCCAGGCGAGAGATCGTTTTCCTGCGAAAAAGCATTGAAGTAACCGTTTTGGAGGAATTCTGGATGCATACCGCATCCTGTATCTTTGACCGTCAAGGTAACTGCAGATTGTGATCGGGTGCTATTCTGTTTGGGAAGTACTGGTGCCACCTTCAGCGATATAAGAATGTAACCTTCTTGTGTGTATTTCAACGTATTTCCCACTAGGTTTGTGAGAATGACACGCCACGCATCAGAGTCAGTCGCAAATGCCCAGTCTGAAGTGCTATCGATGTCAAGAATCAGCTTTGGTCCTCGCCGACTGGATTCAAATCTCGGTTGATCAAAGCTGATACCACTAACACTCCGAAGAGGTAAGCGAGTGTTATAGAAGGAGAACCCCGCAAAGACTGTTTCGGCGATTTCTTCCACGGTAACATCTAGCCGAACTCTGATATCAGAGCCAATACCCGCAATGTCCAAATCGCTGTCGAGATTGACGGAAGAATGATTGGACGATGAGGAGTTATTGTAGGACAAGTGAAGATCGTTTATTCCAGCAAATTTGAGCAGTTGATCGATTGAGCCTAGTAGGGTGTTCGCGCAGGACGCAATCGTATGCACCAGTCCCCGTTGCAGAGCATCCATGGCGGTATCATTCAAAAGCTCGACCGTGCCAAAGATGCCATGAAGAGGGGAGCGCAGTTCATGGCTAATACCAGCCAGGAGATCTGACTTGGCCCGCTCCTCCAACAACGCACCCAGCCAATGGATTTCGGCCATGACGCTGTTCCCGAGGGTCGAACAAAACGTCATTTCATCATCAAAAGTAAACACGCGCTGAGGAGTCCTAGTCCATGCAAATTTGCCCGCGTACCATCTGGATTTGTGCGAATCCCACACCGGCCAGAAGATGATGCTTCGAGACCCAGGGGCCAAGGCCAAAAGCGCCATGGCATCCTGGCGCAAGACTGACTTTCGTGTTCTCTTGAACTTCTTGCTACCACGCGTGGTAAAGTCTTTGAAGATGTTGTCGCTGGGTTCGTCGGATGAGATGGATCCGTCCTCCCCGAAGTTGAAGATTTGGCCACCAGGATGCCGACGCAAGAAGCCCCCTAGTAAGGACTCCGATAGTGCAATCTTGGGATCACCCGAAGTCTCTTGATTAACGCTGGACGCATGTGAAGTAGCAAATCCCAGGATTCGACAGGGATTCAGCGTGGCTTCGCCGGAATTCTCGGCCAGTATCCTGGATAGTTCAGACTGCTTGCATCCTTTTGGAGGAATGATCTCCCCCTCGCTTGCAGAGCCATCTACAGAACTCTCGTTATCAGTCTTCTCGTGACTCACCAAAGACTCATGGGAAACATAATTGGCATCGAAAAAAACAACTCCTTCGACCTCGAGGCTTTCGCGGGCGAGGTTGGCGGCCCGAGAAAGTGTCTCATTGATTTGCTTCGAGTATATTTCCTTCTTTGATATCGGTCTACCGTTGTCCTTTTCGAAGGCATCTGTCGCTCCATTTCCTCTATTGATCTTGGGTTGGTCACTCGCATCTCGCCGTAGACTGGATCTAGAAGAAGAAAGCCGCAATTGGTCTCTAGATGCGAATGATTTCTGGCCGTTGAGGGTCGGAGGTCGCTTAAGGCGAAGTGGCAGCTGGCTCCGACCGTTCTTCAGTGCTGCAGCCGTATCGTCGGAGCGTTGCTTTTCCTGTTGCTGGACATTGACGCGTCCTTCAACATCATCGTTCTGGTCTGGCGTCGTAGGCTCCTCGGTTTGATCCATCCACGAGGTGCGCAGACTGCCTTTCCCCTCTAGAAAGCTCCCCAATCCAACAATCATGCGCTCCCCGCGAAGATGTTGATTTCGCGATCTGTTGGCACATAGGTAATCCATGACCGTGACTGCCATGTCGGCCAGAAACTTTGTCTGGTCTGGGCTCAACGGGCCGCGAGGTTTGTCGTCGAAAATTGAATAGGCGCCAATCACGATGCCCTTCGGACTAATGATCGAAGCACAAGCCAAAAAGCGGATATTCGGATAGCCAGTGACATCTGGATGATTCCGATAGGCCTCATCCTGGGTTAAATCGGCCACTACGCGGACCCGATCCGCGGGGGGCTTTACAGATGCTGGAGCATCTGCGACTGTCATACAAAAACTACGGGAATAGGCCATAGTGCAGGCTCCCAGCCACAGCTCATCTTGATTGATGAAATTATCGTCATCCTGAAGGCTGAGTGTCCGAGTCGCTTCGGAAAGGATGAATTGTTCATGACGCCCAAACAGCGAGATCATGGCACGTTGGGCGTTTAGCCGCAAAGCACCCAGCTGGGCAAATGCCGTCAGGGGCAAATCTGAAGACGAAGTGGCTTTGATGTCGCTCGAGAGAGTATCACGACCGACATGCGGGAGATCTCGGTGGCTTGGCGGCAAATACCTGCAAAACGAGACTCAATGATAAAGTCGAGTATAGGCCACAGGTTGACTGACTTGAAAAATTCGCGCTCTCTCGTCGTACCAAAGCTAGGCATGCTGTGCTGAGCATCTGGTGGTGGCCCAGGACGAGACATCCTGCTGACCGGAAGGCGTTTCAGTGGTTAAAGAGCGCAAAGGTGAAAATCATGGAAGAAGGAAATGCGGGAGACTCAAGAAGATAGTTTAATCGGCCGATTCCCTCCTCCTCCTCCTCCTCCGATTGCCCGTGGGTCATTCATTGATTTGCCACCAGGGTAGGCCCTGCTTGACTTGACTTGGAGTTGAGTCAATAATGAATGGCAACTGGGAAGCGGAGACGTGAAGAAACAGGTTTCCTGAACCAATCACGCCTCATGCGCTCATTGGACTTGCCGCACAGACCAAGTTGCTACTATAGAATCGTAGAAAATAGCAGAAAAATGATAATGCAATATATATTAAAAAATATCTCGAATGGGCTGCAATATAATGACATTGCCAACCTCGATATCCACATCCTGCTCCAGCAGAAGAGCCGCAACATGTGCCCTAACCATGAGAAACCGACCGTGCTTAACAACCCAGCAGTACAGTATGGTTGCCTTGCATTCCGCGTGGACTTTTTACCTTGACAGGACAGACCGAGAAACACCCAACCCTTGCAAACGAGAAATCCTGGTCGAGATACAACCCTGCCATACCTCATTCTCAACGACCTTGAACAGGACGCACCCATCAGCATCAGCATCGGACGTCTCGCTATCTAGACACCCCGAAAGCCCATTGGCTGCACCCGTGCATTGTAATCCGCAGCGCAGATGAAACTCCGCCCGCACTGGGGGTTGCCGCATATGTTTCCGGTGGCGGCGGGCGTGTAGGAGCTTAGAATGTTCTGGGGCGCCGTGCCACTGCCGTGATGGTGGTCATGATGATGGTGGTGGTGGTGGTGGTGGTGGGAATGGCTATCGTCCTCTTTGTCGCTGTCACCGCTGCCATGGTGGTGGTGATGGCGGTGCTTCCGGGAGTTGTCGTCGTCGTCGTCATCGTCGTCATCCTCACTGCTCTTTTGACGGTGATGGTGGCGATGGTGCTGAGAGCCGTCGTCGTCTTTTCCGTGACGGCTGCGACTGCCCTGTCCATTCTTGGGCCCTGCACCCGCACCTGCGTGGTGGTTGTCGCTATTATTCCCCTTGTGGGGTTGGGGATGAGAGCCAGCACCGGCGCCTGCATGGTGGTTGTCGCTATCACTTCCCTTGTGAGGCTGAGGATTGGAGCCAGCACCAGAACCAGCACCAGAACCCGCGTTGTGGTTGTTGCTACTGTTGGCCTTATGAGGCTTAGGCTTGGGGTTGGAAACTGCACCAGCGCCTCCATTGCCGTTGTCACGATCGTTGGCCTTCAGAGGCTTAGGACGGTTAGCAGCTTCGATCTCGTTCACCTTATCAACCATTTCTTGATTTTCAATGGTCGAAAACCCAAACCAACGCTGGGAACTAGCGCCAGTGAATGGAACGCATTTGGGCGTATCCCCCTGTATCGACAAGCACTTCCTCCCGTCCGTGGTCTTGAAACACAGGGATCTACACGTAAAGCAAGATTTTTAGTATCAAGACGAGACTCAACCTACAGGAAGCTAGAGCGAGAGCAACAACGTACGATGTCGTAGGGTCTTTTGACGCAAGCCAAAGACACGCAGATGATTTGATACCAATCGTATTGCTGGCTGCGTCGTACGCCAGATACTTCGGCTTCGTCTGACCTGGCTGCTGGAGTTGGATGGTCGCGTAGCCCGAGGGCTGGATCTCGAACATGAACACCTGCGAGCTGCTTGGGTTCGTTTTGTCCAGGGCTTTGCTGATCAGAGAAGTCCCTGGGCCATCAAGAGCAAGGAGGTGTCCGGTTTGGCCAGAAACAATGCGGATGTGCTGGGGCGCCATTATTGGTTCGGCAACACCAAGAAAGTGAAGTGGGTGATAGATGGAATGTGATTCAGAATGTAAAGCGGAATCCGGTGATGGGATTTTGGGCACTTGATCAGCCCGACGACCTTTTATATTGATATTTCAGACGAGATTCTGATTCTGCGGGGCTCAGCAGACCTCCAATCTTCTCTTTGTCCACTCTTACCGAAGGCCAGAAAGGCTCCAGCTTTGTCATCCTTAACATAACCTTCTTCCCTCCTCCGGTGGCCAATTGGCAATGATTTCTAGTGTGGTTAGTGGACAAGGCTGTGCTTACGCACCCCTCCGATATTAGATGGTGCTTTGCTGCTCATTGCACACATCCAGACGGGATGGTCTTGACACGCACCCTGGTAAATAGTTAATAGTGTAAGACACCCAAGACTTAGCTTGTATATACAAGCTACAGTTATGTCCCGGCTCAAGTGGGCAGAGCCTTGGTGTAAGGCATAGCATTTCGGCCAGCCGCACCCGCTCCCGTCCTTGTCTTCAACATCTGGTGAGATATATAATAGGGATTGGATTGGAAGAGGCTCAGATGAGGTGATTTGTCAGGATACTAAAAGCGTGACGAGCACAATCCCGGCAGACTCAGAGCAGGCGAAGGCGGATAAGGGGTGTTTGGTAGGCAGTGCCTTGCGCCATGCAGCAATGTGACGGTGCGTGGTTGGCGAGGCTACCACTACCGACAAAGCAAGCACATGCGGTATGATGACTGGAAGGTGATCAAGGTAATGGCTGGCTGAGATAGCCTGGCATTGAGAGACATCCTAATCATCCAGCTATGGTGAAATGAAGCGGAGCGAAGGAAGGCACTGATGATTCAGTCTCAAATTTACCATACTGGGATCAGGTTATTCGGCAGCTTCAGCTCATTGACTCGACGTATCGCACGTTATTCCTACGGCGAAAGAACATCTCTCCAGCGAATGACTGCGCAGGGGGTACCTACCAGTCAGTCAGCTTGCCCAGCCTGCCTCGATACCATAGGTGCAGCTAGAGCGCAACATGCAGGATGGGTGTAACCAGCCTCAACCTGGCCCGACCCTTCAGCAGTGTAGTGCATTACGAGATGCAGAATTGCAGCCAACTCATTGACGGGGTTACCCGAAAACCCAGGAGGAGCAATCATATTCATGGGCATTGCACGGCAACCCCGTATACGAGACCGCGTCCTAACCAATCGCTTAGCCCTGACAATTGGCATTTGGCTCAACGGCCGTCGGCAGATTGGTGCGGTTATGTTCCACAGGCAGCATGTTAGGTGAGGCAGGAGCAGCCTCCGAGGAACGAGAGCTGGAAACAGCCCAAGTCGCCAGATCGAGTTGGGATACGGCGCCGGTTCCATAGCAACACGACGGCAAAAGCCGCTGATTCTGACCTGTCTGTTTCCCTCTTCTCAGGCAGTTAGTTCTCGTCACCCTCTTGATCAACATCTACTGAAGCCGAAGCTGCCTCGCAACAACTCTATCCATGGGCGTTGCCTCACACGCATGCCCTGCAAGATGGAACACCTCCCCACCCGAGCAGACTCACCTCCGCTGAAGATCCCGTACCTTGGCGGCGAAGCATTTGAAGCAGGAACCTTAGGCTCCACCGAGGGCGCGCTATACAATTTCAAGAGCTACTGGCAACGCAGGGGCCTGGAGCGCGACCAGCTCACGGGCGAGATATCATTCGAGAGCCTCCGGCCGCACGAGATCGCCCAGTCGCTCCAGACATGGCTCTATTTTGGAACGCTCATTTCCGTCTTCGAGGTCGTTGGGATTCCCGTCCGCACTCGCGATTTTGTCATCCCGCGCCCGTCGCTGTCGTCACGCGTGCGCGTTTTGTGGGGAGAGCGAGAGAAGGAGGAGAGGAGCGTTTGCACCGCCATGTTGCCTGCGCTCGTTGCCAGGTGGACGGCGCGCGAAGGGTTCTCGTCGGGCTCTGATGGACGACTGCACGTCCGCGACGTCAACGATCCGAGGTTCTTGCGCGGGGAGAACATCAAGGAGATGCTGAACTGGACATTCTATTACCTGGACAAGTTCCACCTTGAGGGCGAGAGCATGGCCGAGCCGTACAAGAACCGCATGCAGCTGGTTGAGCTGGCCATCATGGCCGTGTGCGAAAGCCTGTGCTCCGTGATCGTGGCAATCTACGGCTACGAGGCCCGCGAGATGCCGTCTTGGGGCCCGAGTCCCGTCTTGCAGGCCCAGCTGCGGCGGAATGGATGGTGCATTAGCGACTCGCCCTTTTTTCCGGAGTCGATGAGCTGTGCTGCCGTTGCTGCAGATTACTTCTTTGGCAGCTCGGTGTGTCCGCGGCCGGAGCGGGCCGATGGAGATCATTCGCGGTGTACCACGGCCATATGCGACGAATACTGCAGGAAGATCACGCCGGGCAGGTATGAGCAGAGACATACGGTGGCGGGCTGTAAGTGCGAGGCCATTTCGGTTCCGGAGGAGGCTATTCGGCTTGTTGCAAGTGCTGAGGTCCCCGTTCTTCAATGGGACGGCGAGGCGTTGCGAGTCTCGGCTGGCGACAGCGTGTGGAACGAATATGTGGCGATATCGCATGTGTACGTATAGCTGGCTAGCTGTATATTCTCGTCCATTCCTGCTGACACCTTGCCCATTACCGTACAGCTGGTCTGATGGCTTAGGCAACAACGACAAGTCCAATGCCCTCTGGGCCTGCCAGCTCTCCCGTCTCCAGTCTCTCGTCAATGAACTCTGGCGCTCCTCAGGCTCCAATCCATCTGCGTATCAAGCGCCACACGATGATAATGCCATTCACTACGAAATAGAGCAAGTGCCGTTCTGGCTCGACACCCTCTGCGTCCCCGTTGGGACCGAAAACCGGCACCCCGGCGGCGACCGCACGCGCGACCTGCGCAAGGCGGCCATCGCCCAAATGGCAGCCATCTATCAGCGCGCCAGCCGGGTGCTCGTGCTCGACGCGTCTATCTCGGCGCTGCCGCGCTCAACCGACATTGTCGACAAGTACCTGCAGGTGCACCTGTCCAACTGGCACCACAGGCTCTGGACCATGCAAGAGGGCCAGCTGGCGCGCCGGCTGTTCTTCCAATTCCGCGACGGCGCCGAGTCGTTCGAGGACATGAAGCGCGCCGAGCTGCGGGTGTGGGAGGGCCGCGCGCCGCGGAACCTGTGTGCGCCGCTGCGCCTCCTCTGCGCCGTCGAGCTCGAGGCCTTCTACCGCGCTGCGGAGCTTAGTGGCCACGATGCTTCGCATCTCGACGTAACGGCGCGCATGCGCTCCTGCGCGCGCTACCTGCGCAGCCGCGAGACCAGCCGCTCCGAGGATGAGCCCGTCTGTGTAGCTGGTATTCTTGGGCTCGGGGGCGATAGTGGCGCGAGGGAGATCCTTGCGCGAGACGGCGCCGACGCGCGCATGGCTACCTTCTACGACTTGGTCGGCTGTTTCGACCCGCGCATCATCTTTCACAACCACCCGCGTCTCCCTGTAGACGGGTACCGCTGGGCTCCGCGGTCCTTCCTGCGCCAGGTGCCCGACCTGATTGTTTCCCGGGGAAATGGGGGGATGCCGGCCGCCGCCGCCGTGCTTATCCCCAACGGCGGCGGGTTGCCAGTCCAGTTTGGGGGCTTTGAATTCAGTTGCGATGGCGACGACCTAATGCCTCAGCTCGGCTGTTCTCCTGTTTTGATCAGGCCGGTTACAGATGGGCGCGGGTGGGGGCCGCGGTATGCTGGCGATTACAAGACACCGTGGTTCGCGACGGCGTTTGAGATGGAGGTTCACGATGTGCTTGAAGGTTCTGATGCGCTCCCCTGCGCTCGCCCTGGCCAGCGATGGGCCGTCATTTGGGACGGATGCCTAGAGCGTCAATCCCTCCCCGAGAGTGTCCCGGCCGTCATGGGCATTATCGATGCCGAGACTCCCCCGCGGCCTGCGACGGACCTGGAGATCCAGCAGACGGTTTGGACAGAGGGCATTGGGCCTTATCAGTACCAATTCCCAGCTTATTCTGCGCCTCGTTGGATCTCTGTGCGGTACATCTGTCGGGCGAACATAACGATGCCTGTTCAGGAAACGGTGTCTGAAAACGATACCTTTCTTGCTGTTTGGGCCTATGGTAGGCAGCAGATGTGGTGCCTACGGTGAGAGCACTGTGATAATGAGCTGTTGGGATTCATAGCCGGTCTGCTCTGGTCAAATGCCACGCATTGGGTTCAGGTATCCTACCGGTATAGCTCCTTTGAGAGTCAGAGAGCGACAGCCAAGACTCAAATCAACCTTGAAGCAACCCATTAGACTCGACGACATTTTGTCCCCTATCTTCTCCGCAATTCCAGCATCAGCAACAGGGAGCCTAACCTCGATTCTTCCGACGTTTCCCTCTCCTGCTGGTGGTGCGTAAAATTGCCAACTGCCTTAGCATTCGCCTAATTATGAAATGTACAGGGCGAGGGTAAGGCCATTGTAACTCCTCGTAATCCCGCCGACGCCTTGAATAAGTGATCTCGCAATGCATTGACATCGTGACATAACCCCTATGTGGCGGGTAGTCGGCGGAAGGCTTCCCGCGTAGGTGTTGGGAATACCTATCCGATGCTGGGGTAAACAAGTGTTTTGCGACAGCCGACAAGGCCACTTCAGCTCCAGATTTCATCGGTCATGGCATTCAATGGGGTCCCTGTTCGGAGAGGTTCAGCGGGTTCCGAGCGAGGCTCAGAAAGGGGTGGTCCTAATTTTAAGCCTTGGCCAGTTTTAATTTTTTAAGCCTTGGTGGGGTTAAAACAAAAGCTAAGCTTAATTTTTAAAATTTTTTAAGTCTTGCTTAGCCTATTTTATTACTTAACTTATTTTTATATTATACTATTTAAATATAATTTATATAAAAGCTTAAATTAATATTATTACATGCTTTATATAGTTATAAAAAATATTATTATAATTATAAACTACTACCTAGTGTAAGAAATTACTAAAAAAAATTAATAAGGTTTAAATTTTTTATTATTAAAAAAAGCTTATATAGCAACCCTAGCACTAGGGCTAAATATATTTTTATTATATTTATAATATTAAGTTTTTTTTTTTTAACTTTTTTACTTTTTATTTTAAACTTTTTTTTTTTTCTTACTTAATTTTTGCACCTTCCTTGCTTGTGTTTAGTATTTACTTAGTATATATAATATAATAAAGTAATTTTAACCTACTTACCTTTTTTATTAATTAGCACTTAATTAAGTTTAATTTTATAATTAATATAGTTTTAAATATTATTAACCTTTTAAAATAGGGCCTTTACTACGGTAAGCTTAATTTTTATATATACTAAGTATATTTATTAATTATTTATTATTTTTATTAGGTATTTATATTAAGGCTAAAAACCTAACTTATTTTTTAAAATTTTATAGCTATATATTTATTTACCCCATGTATTATTTATATACTTTATATATATTAATAATAATAGTTACTAGGCTTAGATTAGCAAAAGCAAAGCCTGTAAAAAAGTTTATATTTTAAAATTTTTATATTAATGCTATATTTAAGAACATGTTACTAAAAATATATTATAATTATACTAAGTATATATAGTGTATATACTAATATTAATTATAGTTATTTTTTTAACCATATAAATATTAAGGCTAAAAAGCATAATATTAAAAAAAAGTAAGTATTATTTAAATATTTTTTATATATATTTATTATATGCAGTACTTTAAAATAGTTTATTTTTAAGTATAAATAGTTTAACGCCAAGTTTAGTAATAAGCCTAGCTATAGTTTAAAAAATAGCCTTATTAATTAATATACTATTACCTATAAGTATATTATATAAATATTTTTTATATATGCTTTACTTATGCTTAATATATATATAAAGCCTATAACTTTAAGTTTATTAAATATTTTAGTACTTGTTTTTACTACTAGGCCAAGCTTTTAGGTATAATATTTTTTTATAAAAAGTATTTTATAAGGTTGCTTTTGGCTTATATTTTACTTATACTAATTATATATATAATATAGTTTTAATATTATATTTAAGGCGCCCTTAATACCCACTAAGTAATAATATTATAAATAAATTATAAATAATAGCGCCCCTAGCTTTTTTAAGGCTAAATATAAGTACCTAATACCCTGCTTATATATATTATATATTAATTACTAGTAATATAAGCTGCCCGCGCTAAGAAAAAGTTTAAAAAAGCTAATAATAAAAAAAAAAAAAATAAAGTATAATATATATGCCTTATATATATAAAGTATATTTTTTCCTGCTTTACACTTTTTATTTCTTATTTTTAAGTTTAATATTTACTAGCCTAATTTTTATTAATAATATATGCTAAGCATATGCTTTATATTTATATTATTTTTTTTATACTTAGGTTTTTTATTAACTTAACTTAAAGTTAAGTAGTAAGCCCCTTATGGGTAAACTATGTAAGCCTTAATAATAGTATAACTTAATACTAATATATAACCTAGGTAAATAGTAAAGTGGTATATTTTTTACTAAAGGTTTATGGTTTAAATTATAGTATAGGAATTTTTTATTTATAATATTATAATAATAAGTTATATTATATAATAATTTTATATTTTTTAAATAAAATTAA